GTATTTTCATATGGGTCGCGTTTAGGTATTTCTATTTTTACTTTGTCACCTTTCTTAAGTTTGAAGCCTGGCATTCTTTCTTGTTTGTCTCTTTTGACTAAACTATTAAATATATAGTCTTTCTCTAAGTCAGGGTTGTTTTTCATTTCTTCGGGGGAGTGGTTTCCCAAACCTTTTTGTTTACGGCTATTGTAAATATTTAAAACTTGTCTCATCTTTGCCATGGAGAAGTGTCTATACTTGTCGTCATATGACATTTCATTTGCTTCAACCTTGTGGTTGGTTTAAGTCTTAAGATTTTTATACAACTGTCAATGACACCAAGAGCAGAATGGTTTTGGTCGACAATGAAATATTGGTTTACATTTTTTGAACGCAGATAGTTTTTTACATCGTCTGATTTGAAAGAACTTTCATAGTCAGATGTCAGTTTTGTTGATGGTATTTGTCAACGAATATTGTCAAAGCAGTTTTCACATCAAATATTTTTGGAATGATGGGGCTTCAGTATCTTGTGTTTTGACCAACAAATATTAGCCAGTATGGTGGTCCATCTTCTCTATACCTCGGAATGTTTTCCAAGATATCCATAAACCAAGCATTTGGTGTTGAACTAAGATTTTTACCATGAGTGCTTTCTTTGTCGCTTTAGAAACATAGGGGTCCTTGTTTGGATTCGTCATTTTTTAACCCATAAGAAATGGGTTTATTTGGCGCATTAGCAGGAGTTGCATCCAGATTTTTGCCCGCAGTGGGAACAATAGCCAGAGGTGTATTTGGAGTTGGAAGGAAGATTTTGAGTACATTAGGTATACTTAAAGAGAAAGCACAACCTATTATACAAACTGTACAGAAAGGTTGGGATGTAGCACGAGATGCAGCAAATCTTATTCCAAATCCTGAAACAAGAGGAAAAGTTCAAGGATGGATGGACAATGTAGGAAGAGAAGCAGGAAACTACTATAACAAAGCAAATGACTACTATAACCAAGCAGGACACTATATGGACCAAGGTGAAAGATTCTTTAACAGAGGATATAACCATGCACAACAGTGGGTAAACAACAACCAACCGCAACCGCCTCAAACGTGGGGAATGTAAATTTTTTTACTGAGATGAAATGAACAATACAGCATTGAGACAAATGGGCTCAAGATGGATTTGTCGGCTTCCAGCAGTTACACAACCACGTGTTTGTCAAGTTCTTCCTATACCTCAAGAAGTTTTAGACCGACTTAAAAAACAACAACAACCAGTTGAAAACAAACCAAACTAAAATTTTTTACTGAGATGAAATGACCGAAGAAGTTGAAACGGTAGATTTGACACCACAAACAAAAAGTTCAGAACCATTGTCAAAACCTGTCAAAGAACTTACAGATGAAGAAAAAAATTCAATAATAGAAAGTGCCAGGTCTGGAAATACAAACCCTAACTACAAAGTCACTTTTCATAGAAATGGAACGGCTAGTATCTCAAAAAAGAAACAGACTCTCACAAATAAAATATTGAAGTCTGAAGGAGTTTATGAGACAACAGATGGGAAGGTATTCTTCACGGACCAACAGTTCATTATAGAACATCTCATTGACTTAGAGTCAAAATATTCTAAACTTTACAACAAACACAAAAAGTTGAAAGGAAAACAAAAACAAATGGCATATGATATTTATGAAGATGTTGACGACACAACTAAACCTGCAAGTGAGGTAAAGTCAGATGAACCGAAAAGTGACGAAAAACCGATAGAAGAAGAAAAACCAAAAACTGAAGATAAACCAAAACCAAAGTTTAGTTTGGAAACTAAACCAAGTCAACCTTCATTAGCTGGTATGGGTTGGCGTCAAAGACTTATGGTAGCTGGTGGTTATGTTAAGTAAAGAAAACAGTATATTTTTATTTTTATTTGAACTGTACGCTGAGTTTGTTGGAAAAGACCGTTGGGAAACTTGTTTGTTACAGATGAGAAATATGAAATGGCATACCATTTAAAATAAAACATTTTTTAAAAAAAATATTTTTTTATTTTATTTGAAATGTACGCTGAGTTTGTTGGAGAAGACCGTTGGGAAACTTGTTTGTTAGATGAGAAATATGAAATTCACTGTTGTGAGTCATTTGAAGTCAGAAACAAAAAGACAAAAAGAGTTTTAAGCGAATGGGAGCAAAATGACGGATATGCTAGGATGAGGATTGGTGGAAAACACTATTTTAAACATGTTGTCATTGCAACTCATTTTATACCAAACCCTAACAATCTACCTTTTGTAGACCACATAAACCATATAAGAAACGACAATAGACTTGAAAACTTACGTTGGGTCACTTGTTCTGAAAACAGTAAGAACATAGGCAAATTTAGAGATATTGTATTCGAATTTGTCGACGAACTAGAAGATGAAGCAATTGAAATTACAGACTATGGTAAGCATACGTTTGAGTTTTACTACTATAGCGAAGAAGGACTCTTTCTACCTTTATACCGGCGTAAACTATAGGAAATTACAAGTATGTTTTACTAAGGCGGGCTATGCTTATGTAAACACTAGAGATACAGATGGAAAACACGTTCATATATTTCTCAACAAATTCAAGAAGCTATATGGCATACCATTTTAAAACATTTTTTAAAACAGTATATTTTTACATATATTAAATGTTTCAGGTTGAAAAACAAAGAACAAATGTAACAGATACAAAACCGTTAGACTATATCTTTACAAACGCTGGTAGGACTATATCAGATGAAGAAATTTCATCCGGCTCCTACCGCTTTGACTTTCCAATTCGTTGGCTTCAAAGTCCTTCAGATGCAAAGGCAATAGGATTTAGAAGAGTTTTGTTTTCAAAAAGAACTAACGCGTTTATGTTTGCGGTATATTTTCATGGGCAATATAGAGGTTCTGACGGTCTACTAGACAAATTTGATGAAATGAGAATCTTTACGGTTCGTTCAGACGAAAGTCTTGAGAAGACTCTAAATGACTTTCAAACTCAAATAAACAAATACTACTGGGAATTTCAAGAAAATACGATTCTTTACTAAATGGAACATACTATCTGAAACTAGAATATGACAAGATGAACTCCACAGTTTCATTTCAAAGGATTGAAAATAACCCTCCAAGAGATACACAGTTTTTATTTTGGCAAGTAGACAAACGTTCTTGGGCACAATTTCTTCGGTTACTAAACCAGAACGAACCATTACCACCTGACGGTCCGTTCTGGTTTATACGCCCACCAACAGATTTGACAGTTTATAGAAACGTGTTTGACCCTCAAAATGTCATGTGTCATGCAAGTTTCAGTTCAAGCAACAATAGTTTTCTTTGTATTGGTAAGGACTTTTATGACTTTGCTTCTAAATTCTATGAACCACCGAGTAACAGTTTCTCTGACTTTCAAGTTTGGTTCACAACAAATGGTGTGCAACATATTGTTCCATTGTACTACGACTTTTATCTCGAATTGTCTTTCATATATAACTACGGAGAAGTGCTGAAAAAGTATTGAAAAATAATGTTTATGTTAGCATGTTAGATCTAACACGTTTTCTAACACGTTTTCTAACATGGTCTAAAACTCTTGAATTTTCATGAATTTTGTGCTGAATTCGACAAAAATGAGTTTTTGGTTGAAAAAAGAGGTGGAGCCAAAAGTGGCTCGACCTCAAAACAAGCATTTTGTGAAGAATATACCAACCCGCGGAAAACAGCGGGTTGCTTTTTATACAAAGTTCACCCGTTGAATTTGTCATGAATTTCCTTAAGATAGAAAAAGTGAGTTAAAATGAGATTTTTATCGTTGTGGTCCGACGGTTAAGCCACAAACGAATGTCCGACGGTTAAGCCACAAACGAATGTCCGACGTACCACCAAAAAATATTTTTTATTTTTATTGTAAGAACTGAAATGACAGTCGAAGCAAAAACGTTCACGAACAAATCTAATGGCGAAACATTCACAAAAGGCACTTACAACGGTATTGAAGTCTTACGTAGAGACAAGGATGGTTATATAAATGTAACAAATATGTGTCAGCAGTTTAGGAAAGACTTTAGAAGGTTGTTGGAAAATAAGTCCTGGGAAGAGTATTTTAAGGCATTTTGTGAAGAATATACCAACCCGCGGAATTCCGCGGGTTGCTTTTTATACACAGTTCATGCAGGAATTCCCGATGAAATCAAACAGGTTAGAGGAATGTATGCAGACCCAAGACTTGTAAACTATATAGCAATGTGGGCTTCTCCAAAATATTGCATAGCAGTTGGAAAAATTCTGGACTCCATAGACAAGAAAGTTCATGAGAAATTAGATGAAGAAGAACTTGAAGATACAGTAGAGAATGCAAAACCTTTGTTTGAAGAAGAAGTTAGAAAAATGCATGAAAAACAAATAGAACATGAACGTGAGATATGTTCTGGTTATAGAGATTCTCCATACGAACTAGACCAATGGGAACAAGAAGATTTAAAGAGAGAATTTAGAGAATATGAACTCGCTAAAATTTCATTAGAAGCTGCAGAAGAGAGGTTAAAAGTTTGGGGTCGTTTTGTACAAAAATATTGTGAGTAAATGAACCATTTTTTTCGACAAAAATAATGTTTATGTTAGAATGTTAGATCTAACATGTTTTCTAACATGTTTTCTACCCTCTTGAATTTTCATGACTTCTTCGTAAATGTTTTGTCAAGACTTCTTCGTAAATGTTTTGTCAAGACTTCTTCATAATGAGTGTAAACGACCAAAAAATATATTTTATGTTAGAATGTTAGATCTAACATGTTTTCTAACACGTTTTCTAACATGGTCTAAAACTCTTGAATTTTCATGAATTTTACACCAAAAATAATGTTTATGTTAGAATGTTAGATCTAACATGTTTTCTAACACGTTTTCTAACATGGTCTAAAACTCTCGAAAATCATGAATTTTCCCGAAATAAAAAATAAAGTTGGTTTTTTTAAAAAAATATTTTTTATTTTTATTGTAAGAACATGTTAGCAACAACAGCACCAAACTCGTTAGTCATGAACCCAACTTCAATGTTAGTAGAGATGAAAAGCTTCATTCCTTCTTCATATACTTTCGAAACAAAAATCCAGAAGATAAAGCAAGAACTTTTAACAAGTAATTTAGACTGTAGTGCGAAAGATGAAACAAATGAACAGTATCTTTACGACATGCAGGACATTATTGACCATTTACCCAAATTGCCTGAAATCCAACAGCAAAAACTCACTATTCCAGAATTCGATGAAATAGAAGTCGGACTGACTGACTCAGTAGAAATAAAGAAGTTCATACGAAAGGTTAACTATGAGTTTCTTGGATTTCATTGCAACCACAAAGTCATGGACAAAGACTGCGACATGGTATATAAGAACATCTCTGACCTTTACAAATCCGAAGAATTTAAGACCTACGACAACTTTGTTTCATTAGTTGCAAAATGTGTTTGGGAAATAAGAGATAAAGATAGTAGGGGTAAGGTATGGAACGAACAAATAAGACCCGCTATGTTCGAGATGAAGAAAACCATTGACGCCTTAGTCATACTAGCAGGTAAGGTTTCAGAATATAACGCAAAAATGAACCCACAATGTTCTAAATGTAAAGCAGCAATGAGGAAATATAACTACTCCGTCAAAGAGATAGAACGTATGCGAAACGACTATGCAGATTTAAAGAAAGAAGCAGAAAAGCCAGCAGAAGATAAAATGGACATGTTGACATTTCTAAACAAAAACTATCCAACAGCTGACGATTTCCTTCTATCTGACGTCAAGAAGAAATATAAAGAAACCTTCGGTATCGTTAAAACTTTTGACATACTAAAAGAAGAAATAGAAGCTACGAAATTGTTTAGAATTTCACGAATTCACAACATATACCATGTAAAACGCTTGTAAATAGTTATGTTAGAAAACATGTTAGAAAACATGTTAGATCTAACATTCTACCCTAAAATATATTTTTATTGAATTCCGTATGAAATTTCATGAGTTTTGTGTGTTTTAGACCATGTTAGAAAACGTGTTAGAAAACATGTTAGATCTAACATTCTAACATAAAATATATTTTTGTCTGATTTACGCTCATTACGAAGAAGTCATGACAAAACATTTACGAAGAAGTCTTGACAAAACATGTACGAAGAAGTCTTGACAAAACATGTACGAAGAAGTCTTGACAAAACATGTACGAAGAAGTCTTGACAAAACATGTACGAAGAAGTCTTGACAAAACATTTACGAAGAAATCATGAAAATTCATGAGGTTAGAAAAGAGGTTAGAAAACAGGTTAGATCTAACATTCTACCCTAAAATATATTTTTGCTGAAAAAAATGACCAAATTTCATGAATTTCCTCATATGTTTGCTACCCGAGGAAAACCGAGGGTAGAGATTCCGTACGAAAATCGTAAAAAATTGCGAGTAGGGAAAAAAACCTGGTCGCCTAAAACTCATGAAAATCGTGAAAAAATGACCAAATTTCATTATATAACTGTTATTTTTTTACGAAGAGAACTTTGACACTTCGTCAAAAAAATCCCTGAAATCATATCTTTTATACAAGACAGAAAATCTTACTCGCCTAAAACTCATGAAAATCGTAAAAAATTGCGAGTACGTTAAAAAACTTAGTCGCCTAAAACTCATGAAAATCATGAATTTCCTTAAGATAGAAAAAATAAAGTTAGTTTTATTTTTATTTATTTTTTTATTTTGTATGTAAGGACAGATATGTCAACAACAGAGAACACAACAACAGTTATAGTCCATGAAGCTATAAATGAAGAATATGAGTGGGTTCAGTTTAACAAACAGTTACGTCTCATTCGTTCGGTCAAAGACGATATGTACCAAATGCAAAGTATTTTGAATACTCTTCGTTCTACAAAGCAAGCACGTCATTGGTTTGAAAACCAACAGACAAAAGAACTTTTAGAAGAATTTCCTCATATGTTTGCGAGTGGTAGAAAACCGCGGGTCGAGATTCCGTACGAAAATCGTGAAAATTTGCCAAATGGTTTGAGAGGTTGGTATGTACATAGACTTCTTGTAAATGCTGTTGCAATGTGGGCTTCACCTCGTTACGCTTGTTATATTTTCATGATGTTAGATGAAATTCATAGACAAGAACGTGAAGAGCTAGAGAACAAGCTTGAAGCAAAAGACAAAAACATACAGAAAAGAATACCACGTTCGGTACCAAAAGGAAAGGAAAAGAACTATAAGTATATGATTTACACTGAAGAGATGGAAGATGAAGAAGACAGAGATATGGTTATGTTGCATTTAGTCAGAAGAAACAACAAAAGCTTTTACGACCTTGCTAAGATTTACAAATCTGACAGAAATTGGTTCTATCGCGAAAACTTACCGATTTCAATGACACCAAATGAAGATGTGAAACAAATAGTTCAAGATACTTTACCTCAAACACACTATGATATTAAAGGTTGTACAATTCTTACCTTCAAAGAAGATTTGCCATTGTTAAAGGAAAAAATAACAGAGTATTTTGACAACTTCAAACAAGCAGAGTAAATGAACTCTTTATTTTTCAAGCTTGACTTCAGATGGCTCAGGTAGCTCTATAAGGTAAATTGTCTTGTCAAATCCTTCTGGCATTCCGAGTCCTTCCTTCCGACAGAAAAATATTTTCCCGACAACTGGAAAAAAATTTCCCGACAACTGGAAAAAAAATTCCCGACAACTGGAAAAAATTTTCCCGACAACTGGAAAAAATTTTCCTGTTGTTCGTCCGTAAACCATTCAAATTTTCGAAAATTGAGAACTTTTTGGTCGAACGACAGAAAAAATTTTTCCTTCAGACAGGAAAAAAATTTCCCGACAACTGGAAAAAAATTTCCCGACAACTGGAAAAGTTCTTCCTTCCGACAGGACACAAACGAATGTCCGACGTACCACCAACCGAGTCCATTCCAAAGCCAGAAGAACCGACAGCCCCAGCACCACAACAGACTAAGACTCAAACACTTACATTTTCAAGCTTGACTTTTTACAATTTGAACTTTGTTCGCGTAGATGTGAATTCTGAAAGAAGTATGAGGGTCTTGTATGACTTTGTACTTCTCCCATAGTTCATGTCTGTCAAACTTACCTGCCATGGACTCTTTCATAAGTTCCATGAAATCGTCTTCGGACAATCCAGGGAAAAGTATGATATCAGTAAGTATTCTTTTAACATCCTTACTTAAACTCTTTGCTGTCTGTACACAAATGACAACTGAAATGTTAAAGTGTCTGAGCTTCTTAAGAATTCGACACATGTCTTGTTCTCTGTTCTTTAACAAAGGATGAGAAGCAAAGTCATCTAAGATAAGAAGACACCTATGAGGGTATGTCTTCCAATCGTAAGATTGCAATTTCTTCGAAATGTATTCTATCTCTTTCTGTTTGTTTCTGAAGTGTTTCTTCTCTAATATTCTCTGCATTTCCTCATTTGGGTCTTTAAACTTCGAATTTATATACTCATTTATAGCATTGTACTTCAAAACTCTTCTTTGGTACTTCTTTATCCAATCTAACAACTCAGAGTCTTTTATACATACTAACTTAGACTTTTTTATAATATCTTTGAACGAATTGACGGTTTGGTCAAATTGACCAGAAGTACTACAAATAACAACTAACTCATAGAATGGGTTCTTCTCATCTAGTTCTTGTTGTTGTGCAGCCATTTTAAGATAAGTGAAAGTCTTACCCGACCCAGGTGGTGCAATTAGACCTGTTATACCATTCTGAGCAAATAAGAACTTGTCATGTATAGGCTTTATCTGAGCATTTTCCAACTTCCTCTTGTTCTTATTTAAAACATTCTCAAATTTCTTGTCAATGTCAGCAAACTTTTTTTCTAACATATTTTTAGAAAAATTAAAAATTTTATCTTTTAGGAAATGTCTAGCGATTTCGCTATCTATATTCGAGACAAGCTTTTCGACAGCAAAACATCTGTAGACCATAAAATCTTACATAGTGTAAACAAGAAAGGTGAATTTGTTCTAAAGTTCTGTTTCTGGGAATATGACAAGAACCATAAAACATTAAGCAGAGAAGTCTTTAAGTTTGTCAATGACAGACTTGTTGACAGAGATGACGCCGATTGGAAAGATGAAGTCCAACAAAAGTTCTTAGAATGCAAAGAAGACACATGCGCTGTTCTTGAAGATGAAATAGAAAACAGAATAGAAGAGCTATTAAAGGACAAAGACCTTTTACAAAAATATGGTTCTGAGAAGTTTGACATAACTCCACCAGAGAAGAAGAAGAAGAAAGGAAAGAAAGAGAAAAAAGTAGAAGAGAAGAAAGTAGAAGAAGAGAAGAAAGAACCAGAGCCAATTCCAGAGAAGGTGAGATATGACATGTAAAAATAAAATTTTATTTTTAGAACATTTCTGGGTCAATGTCAATGTTCTCTTCCTCTTTAGGAGCAAACACTGGCTTAGACTCTAAAATCTTTTTACCCAATTTACCTTGAACTTCAACTATCTTAGACTCATAATATTCATAGTCGTCTGCTTTCTTTGGTTCATAAGGTATAACAAGTTTGTATGCTTTGCCTTCTTTAAGGTTTGAGAACCTTCTGTCAAAATTTTCTTTGACTGCTAACAAACCTTCTATGTCTAAGTCTTCAAATTTCGCACCATTTTTAGTCACAATAGCAAACTTAACAGGTTCGATGTTCCAAACTTTGTCAAATGAAGACTTTTCAAAATGGTAGAAGTAAACATTCAAATATGTGAATGGGTCTAGTTCTTCTTTGACTTCTGTCATGTACTTGTTGACTGAAATATATTTCGTCATCTTTTCTATCGGATAAAAAAATATTTTTTTAAAATTTACTCAGAAAAATTTTTCTTTGTATATACGCCGTTCTGTATGTCTAAAAGACTTTTGACATTTGCCAAGAATGTTCGTTTAGAAGCTGCCATATAACCATATTCTTGACAATATTGTTTATACGAATCGTACAATGACCTTTCATCTAATGACACAAAGTCAGTTTCATCTATGAACAGTTCATATACACTCTTGTTTGCTTCTAACAATGTTTGTCTCTCTTCGGTATGTGGAATTTGTCTTGGATTGAACTTAGAAATATCTAATGTCATGAAATATGAGAACAAGTGGTTGTAAAAGTTAGGTGTCAAAGTTTCTGCTAAGTCATCAAAATATTCTGTATCTTGCATATGAGAATCTGACGTTCTGACAACTACATATCTTCTGTCAGAACTTTCTAACTTCATCGGAACAACATTGTTTGAAACCATGATGAAATTTGCAACATTTTCACAAACTCTTTGGTCTTTATATTTTCTTTCAACAACTCCAACTTTGTCTGTTATAAGACTCTTCAAAGCATCTGAGTTCAAAACTTTTGTTGTATCTATACTTTGAAGTTCGTTACATACTATAAGTTTCATATTCTCTATTGAAGAGTTAAATTTACCGCAGATGTTTTCTAAGTTTGTCATATTAGGGTTCGAATAGCCTTCTAACAGTTTGCATAAGATATCTGTAAAGAAAGTGTTCTTACCAGTTCCTTGTTTTCCAATTATAATGAGAGCAGTTTCATTTTTAGCACTTGGATATTGTAAGATGTTTGCAAACCAACATAAGGTATACTCATAGACTCTTTCGTTTCCATTGCATATAATTTCTTTGACATGGTCTAACCAAGCTTCTATAACATTTTCTTTCCATTCTACTTGTTCGTATTTATATCCAGTGAAGATAGAATAGAAGTTTGGAGAAGGTGTATAGAACTTTATACCTCGAACTGAAAAATCTTCTAACTTTGACAATAAGATATCCCAAGCATCTAACATCTTCATGCCAACTTGTACAACTTTTATTTTCTTAAGTTTCTGTCTACATTCTT